CACCTAGCCTAATCCTGACCTCTTTGTCTGTATGTCTGTCAAGCCATTACATATTTTAGAGTATATCACCTGACTATAGAGCTTCAGAGGGTCCTCTTTCTAACTAACTACCTATATTTAATCTTTGCTAACAGAGCTTACTATTGTAAAGTTCATCTAAACCCCAGTACCAACTTCATAAAATATCTTTAGTACTTATAGTATACTCTGCTTCTGACCTTAGACTTCCAATCCAGATAGCCTAGTAGAACTATGACTTGTTCCTAGTATTCTAGAGTCTGCTCTCCAAGGTTTTTTTCCTTTGGTTCAAGACTTCTAGCGGCCTGATTGGTGGTACCTCTTACCCAAGGTTCTTGTCTACCTGATTTTTTTCATATTATATCTATTTCCTAGGTCTAGTCTTTATAGTAATACTGTTGAAGATCTGTGCTACCTTTCTACTTGGATTTTCCCAAGTGGGCTTCAGTTTTTCCAGTTTACAGATTTATATAGCTATGAAAACTTATTTTGTGTTTGCACTGCCCAATGCTAGTTTGCATTTCTTTGTGTAACTCCAACATTGCACAGATGTCCCATGACCTGCCAGTTATGCTGATGCAATTATGTTACAGGTACTGATCCCAACTGATCGATGGAGTGCTGTTGCCATAGTATTAGACACAAGGACTTATCTTGGATTTGTACTGCCTAATGCTAGTTTGCATTCTTTTATGTAACTCCAATATTGTACAGATGCTTGTAATACTGATATAACATAAGTGGTTTTCCAAATTTTTGTCATCAGTGGGTTTTGAACTCCCAACCTACCACTTGGAAGATTGACAACTTATTCATTTTACTAAGTCATCACACCATTTGTTTAGCTATATTTTAATTTTTTTGTTACAAATATATTTGTTTAATTGTAATATAATTTTTTTTTAATTTTATAAATATAAAAATAATGTTTAAATAAAATTTTAAATTCTTAAGAATTTATTAGTCATATTATGTTTTTAATAAACACTTACAAAATTCTATATCTATTATTAATATATCTTGGTAAGACAAGAATTTAACTATATTAAATAATGATTTCAATATTAAAACTAAAATTAAAGAACCAAAAAAGCAATTTTTCAAATATAATAAAAATGTATATTTATCTTAAAATAAAAAATTATTTTTTGTAGCCTATTCTAAAACACAATACAATATTATTAGTAATATTAGTATAATCAAATAGCACTTTAAAATTAATCATATATTTGAATCTTATTAAATATTTCAGATATCTTCTTTGCAACTCATATAACAATATTAAAAAAAAATAAAAATATTAAATGGGTTTTTGGTATATTAAATATTCTGTGACTAACAACTATTTTGTATAGTTAAAGATAAAGCCTTCTAAATGTTTTTTTTAAACTTGATTCTTGTTATAAACTTCTTTGTAGGCAAATAATTTTTTCAATTCATATTTAGTAGTTGTATAAAAAAGATTGTAAACAATTATATAATTTTTTTAAAAAATTTTAAATACAAGATATCAATTATAACTAATATATGATTTACATATACAAACCAAGTTGCATTATATAATTTTGGACTTTATCTCTTTATATGTAGCTAAAATAATTTTTCAAATAATTGAAAATTTTAGTTTAGTAAAAAAATTTTTATCTATAACTATTGATAATATTAGTAATATAAATATTTGTAATAAAAGTCTTGCTAAAATATTAAAATAAAATTATAATAATACTGTTTTTTACTAATTATAATGTACTACTTATATACTTAATCTTGTTGTATTAATAATCTTTTTATAATTGATAAATTTATTAAAAAAATTTTATGAGTTGTATATACTATTTCTAATTCTGTCTAGAAGAACTAATAATAAAAAATTAATCATTTTTAGTACTTAAAATTAATTATAAAACTAGATAGAATTTAAATATTTAATATTAAATAAATTATTTAAAATAAAAAACATTATAAATATATTAGTAATTTTAATAACTTATCTTAAAAAACAATATATAATTGATCATGATTAGATTAATATTAAAGTTATAATAATATTATTAAAACCTATTTATAAAACTACTAAACTACTTTTTTTCTTTATTTATCTGATAATTAAAACATATGTATCATATCTTACTAAAGTTAAAAATAATCTAAACTTAATAAGTTCACATATGTCTGATAAAATTCTTGAAAAACTTAATAAATATTAGAACAAATTATAATTTTTTTTTTAAAAAATAATATTGCTTAATTCATTATTTAAACTTTCTATCTATTATTCTAATTTTTTAAAAAAAATCATTTATTAGATAATTAATAAAACTTATAAAAGTTATACTTATCTTAATTAAAAAACAACTATGTAGGTTTTAGGACTAAATCAACTTAGTTCTTCTCATAATTATTTTTGAAATTAATTAAAATAATCTTATAATAATAGTTAGTTGTAATATGTTAGAAGAATATTTGCATATGTTTAATGAAAATATAGATGCATTTACTTTTTGAAAATCAAAAACTTCAAATTTAAAATGAGTATCTTTTGTTAAAATAACTTAGGATTACCTGATTGCTTAGGCAACCAATATTCTGAGTGAACAGATCTTTTCTTTTGCCAAACATACAATTAATGCATTGTAAAACCAATTGGAAGATGAAACGATTCATGCAAGTCTGTGTTTAAAAACATAGTATAATGCAGAAATTTGTAAAAAATAATTTTGAGCTTTAAAATTAGTATATAGTGATAGTATATGCTTTTTTTTTCTTTGTAATACTGTAATATTGTAATAACAGAGGTTTGTAATAAAAAAAATTTATTCTAAACTGCTAGGGTAGAACCAATGTAGAACAGGGGTGAACTAGTTTTCAACTAGTCCCAGACCGGACTTTTTAGGGACCGGACCGGGACCGTCGATGTTACACGACTGATGGGATTATAATCATAACATGTACTAGCACACCGTCTCTACTGTTTTTATCACAACATGTGGCAAATTGATTTTCGGTCACCCTAATCAGCCAATAAAATTCAATGATCGACAACCAATCAAATGGATTTTTAATCATGCTGATTTGATAAAAATTTTTCTCCCCTTTCTCATCTGCTTTAAAAAAAGCGGTAGTCGTCTGTATTCATAATGAGGTATCTAATTTTCTCGAAATTGCATTGTGATTTTATCGAACGTTCATGCGATAATTTTTTTCATCTTAAAGTAAAATTCAAGTGTCAGCCGTGAGAGAGTCAATTAGGACTCTTTTAGCTGAATCTAAAGAAAAAAATCGAAAGTTTACCGAAACTGTTGAGTTACAAATTGGATTAAAAAATTATGATCCGCAAAGAGATAAACGATTTAGTGGAACTATAAAGTGAGTAAACCACACCTTGCAAGATGAGATATAAAACTTTATTTCAAACGTTTAAATTTTATGATATCTGAGCATCATACTTAGTTTATCTTGAATTCTAGACTTCCCAATGTTCCACGCCCCAAAATGTCCGTAGCCATTCTTGGTGATGCTCATGATTGTGATCGTGCTAAAGAAATTCAATTGGAATATTTAAGTGTTGATGATCTTAAGAAGCTTAATAAAAACAAGAAGTTGATTAAAAAGCTCGCTAAAAAATATGATGCATTTTTGGCAAGTGAAGCTCTGATTAAACAAATTCCAAGATTATTAGGCCCTGGACTGCATAAAGGTATTTATAATATGATACCATTACCTTGAGAAGAATAAAATTTATTCTATTTATTTTAACTTCAATGCATAAATTAATTATGTACATATTAGCCGGTAAATTTCCAACGCCAGTTAATCATAATGATGATTTGAATGCCAAAGCTGAAGAATTACGTTCAACAATCAAATTCCAACTTAAAAAAGTGCTTTGCCTTGGCGTAGCAGTTGGTCATATTAATATGAGCGAAGATGAATTGCTTGCTAACATTATGATGAGCATTAATTTTTTGGTCTCTTTACTCAAGAAGCATTGGCAAAATATTAAAAGCTTGTACATTAAATCATCAATGGGTAAACCTCAGCGTTTATATTGATGATTGTAACGTGAGTACATTTATGATTATTCATTAATTTGCATCTGTTTAAATAATAAACATAGATTCTTTATGTATACAGATGACTTTCTCAAACGGCAAATACCAAAGTTATCATAGTAAATATTTCAAAAATGATAATTGTTGGGAGCTGAAAAGTTTACTCTTAGACGATTTCATACGAGGAATTAAGGATTTAATAAATTGATACACTGAAGTTAACATAAACAGTGCGATTATTTTATTATGATGGTGAATAAAATAATTTAACGTTCTATGTGTTAAGCCTGTTGTTAGGATGACGGGATATAAAAAGTATTAAACCTAGAGATATACTTCGCACGAGATGAAATTAACGTAAGAAATTTTAACATATATCTCAAAAATAAATTTGAAATTGTGCTATATGATCTCTCCAGGTTTATCTCGCCAGATGTACATCTATAATTGTGACAAATATGCAATGCCAGTCTTTTTAAACGCATCACAAAAATTGTCACGGCTGATGCTGATTTTCACGTGATGATCGGCCAATAGTGAGTCGTGTTTAGAAAATTCAAAAATTTGCATAGAAGCAACCTTTCATGCATTAGCAAAAAATCATCTTTTGTGATTTTATTATACGTATAGCTCAACCAATGTTAATTTTTCAGTTAAAATTTATTGTGCGGATGCCGCACAATTTGGAAATTTATCTGTGCGGCAAATAAAGACAACCTACAAGCAACTGTTTGTTCAAAAGGTGTGCGCAAAATTTTATTCTGTGTGCTGCGCACAGTCCGCACAGTGAAAAATAATCACTGCTAATCTAACCTCTAAACCTAGTTTAAACACTAACCCTAACATAAACAAACTCTATATGACAAAATTTTGTTATTATGTCACGTGAACGTCAACTTTAGCCAAAATCAGATCAGCTGTGACAAAAATTTATATGTATAATAAAGCTAATAACATTGCAATTATCGCACCAGACATTAAGCCAATAATATTCAGCAAAAAGCCTTGCCATTGCCATCTTTTCATGGCTTCCGAATACCTTACTGTCGAAAAACTTACCATAGTATACAGTGGTATTATTAATGTTGGAAATAACCAATGTAACCAACTTTCAACCCATCTCCTCATTAAATACCAAGGGTTTACTACGCTAGACCTCATCTCAATATAATTATACATTGCCAAGTCACAAATTGCTACTGCATCTTCATGACGAAGTTTTGTGTACTCCTCCAATGCCAGCTCCAATTTGTCATCATAGTTATCATTATGGAATGCGGTAATATTGAATCTTTCAAAGATGCTATCAAGTAATTCAATATCTTGAAATCCGCAGTTCATGCCTTGTCCATAAAAGGGCACCATACAATGAGCAGCATCTCCTATGATTAATGCTCTATTTCGATAATGGTAAGGTTTGCACTATATTATAGATTTAGTAAAAAATTAAATGTAAATCAATCTAATTTATTTATATATTCTAAAAAATGCCAATATTTTACAATTGAAAATTCGTTAGCATGAAAACAATATATCACCTTGATAGAGATCAGTGATCCTATTGGGTTACGAAAATATTCTTTAAGTCGTTGTTCGCCTATTAAAGGAATGGAATCCGGAAAATAGACTTCAAAGAAGTTTAACAATTCTCTTTCTGTTTTTATAGCATCGAACGTTTCTTTTGGCATGAAAAGAGTGCAAGTGAATGATTTATTCTATAATAGAGAAAAGGCTTTTTAATAATAATATCAAAGCAAATCAAATCACATAAGTAAATAACAAATACCAAATTTGGTAAAGCAATCATCATGAAAGTATGTCTCGGCCAAATATGCAAGTGATTAGGATCCATGGCGAACTTTGGATCACCTTTGTCATCGATAATCGGAGGAATGGTTAGTTCGCGATATGCATGTGTAATATATTCTTGATTATAATCCATGCTGCAGAATGGAATTATAAGTTGACAACTCAAGAACAAGAAATGATTAAAATTAAATACATACTTAATTACACGCATTAATTGAGATCTAACAGAAGAATAAGCACCATCAGCACCAATAATCAGATCAGCAGTATGCTGAATTGTTGTTCCTTCAGCCCTAATAAAGAAATAAGGTAGTACAATCGGATGTTTAAATTGGGGTCACTAGAAACTAAATTCTGTCTTACTTGTTCACAAATTCTAGTAATCCAGAGTCAAAGTTACAAGTTTTCATTTGATATTGGAAAAAGATATTTACGTTTGTAAATTTTCTGGTAGTATTCAGAAGCAGTTCGAGAAGTGCCTTCCTTTCTGCTGAATGAATGCACTATAGAAAAATGTGTCAAATTGAATTGATACGTTTATGAAAGCTAATATAACCTTACCTCTCCAAAAATACCATATGATTGACTCCTGAGCTCACCTTTATCTAAATGGATCATTCTTCCTTTCATTGGAATAACAAAATTTAGTACCATTTCATCAAGATTTAAACCAGTATTTGCCAATGCACTTAGTCCTCGAGTTGACAAAGCTAAGTTTATTGATTTTTGTGAAAGACCAGCTCGATTTCCCTGAATTCTAGGGTCTGTTGAAAACGTATGTATATGAAATAAAAATTGTAAATATTGGAATAATGGTTCATTTTACAATACCTTTACGAAGCTCGAAGAGATCGACATTCCAGTCACGTCTAGCAAAGTAAAGTGCAGCAAGGGCACCAACAAGTCCACCACCAATGATGGCAACACGACGCTTTGTTTGAATTTTGGGTTCTGTGAACATTGCAAAAGGGTTCTCACACTTAGAATGATAAGATGATGCTTAAGCAATGTCGCGTACACAAGTCCAAAAAAGCATAATGGAAATTGGGTTTGATTGGTTAAAAAAATGATCGACAATTTATAAATAACAAATTTTATTGGTTAAAGCTAAAGATTAACTTCACGTTATTTTGGCGATACCCTTTATGGTTTTTTGTAAAACCGATTGACCAATTAATAATATCTAACATTTTATAGCTTGCTCACGTGAAGTTCGAAACTTTTAATCGAAAAAAACAGTGGATTTTTATTAACTATTTCGTTTAAAAAAAATGCCAAAAATTTAATGTAATACCTTTGTGTTACATACTGGCATTGTCAGAATCGCTTCTAGTAAAAGTTGGCGGAACACTTGATCTCACTTGATCTCAAACGTTTATATGAAAGTTATGCTTCTAAAAAACAATCCGATAAAATTTTAGTTGATCTTAATAAAAAATTTTAACTTGTCCAATTGGAATTAAAATTTCTATTGTAAAACAATATAAAAAATTTGTGTAACAGTACTTTTCAATAGAAAATAAATAACCAATAAAAACCAATTTCCATTATGCTTAAGATCATATTACATTGTTGATACGACATACCGATACATATATAAATATAAATCTTTTACTTTCTCTTTTACTGTTTACGGAAACAAAACAAATTTCAAAAAATCAGAATCTTTGCGCATAAAAGTAAAACAGGTTAGTACTCTTTTTACAAACTGGTGGGATTGTTGAACTGGAAGCACGCCGGGCCGCAGTTGGTGGAAGGTTTAATACTCGATGTACTAAAGGCTATCGACTGCGAACGTCCTTCTGCAAGCTTTATCATTTTGTCTAAGGAGTTGAAACACGTTGTTAGTGATTAATAGCAGAACCCAAGGGCTGATCTTTGCTAGCGAGATGGGCACTTGGACTGAGAGGGGGTACATACACAAACAGGGTTGGTGTGTGCCATTCGACGAGTACGAGCCTGATTTTGCTATTGGTCATTAGATTAATATACCTGGCACGGTGCCTCACCATAGGACCATGCCCAGTTACCCTAATTTTAACTGTTGGTAGTGTTTCACCTAATTCAGAAATAATACTGATCTCTTTTTATTATTATTATTATTTTAGTACATAGAGGCATTGAAAATAAAGACAACGATCAAATCCAAGATAATGATTTTAACAAATCAGAATCTATAGTACATAGTTGTAAACAAAAAGGGAAATGTCTTATTTTAGAATACAATATAGTTGTCAGGTAAGATGCTTTTAGATTTGCAATCACACCATATCGATGAGGATTCACAGCGTGCCCGGCATTGTTTAGCAATGTTAAGGTGGTCAGTGGTTCATTTAGAAATTTTCATAAATGCTGGGTGGGAAAATAACCTAAAAATGATTAATATTTCAGCTCCACGAGTCGCACTCAATCTTTTAGAAACAATTTTCAAAGAGCATCCCAATGATGAGCTTCGATCTACTGCCATGATATTGCAACTATTGATTACGATATGACTGCAATCCTTCATGTTTTTACTCTCAAATCATCCAAGAAATTACTACGACATGGATGTTTTAACTACGTAATCAAATCTATTTTCATGGTCGACCATTTTACTTTACAATACCATCCTCTTCCTCAGAACAAAATAGTGTACCATTTACAGAAAGTAATGTGGTCATAATAATTCTTTGCACTAAGGCTATTCTTTTCAAATTGTGACAATTTATAATAAAAAATTTAATGAGTTAAAACTTACCGGCCAAATTTGCAGGTATAGTAAAAACGTCATTTACATAAGCATTCGCAAAACTATTATCACCATCT